GATGATTTTCGAAATTCAAGTATTAATGTTTGATTTGTAAAGTTGTACAATTATAACAAAAACACAAATTTACTTAGAGTAATATGAATACAATTAAATGATTAAAAATATTATTTAATCAATCACAAATGGTATCTAAATGGACATAAATATAATTTTTATAAAGTCATTGACATCGGTAAATGATTCGTCGTTAAAACATTATGTTATATAACGTTTAAAATAGTAAAATATTATATTTTAGTTAGATTTAAATTAGTAACATATGTATTTGTGAGTTCATATTAAAAATTTGATGTAAATATGTAGATATTTCCAACATGACATATAAATTTAATTGGAATGTTTTGATTGGTCAATTTAATTGATGTGTCCCTTGAAATCCTCATTGAGTGACACATATGAATTTTTTAATTAGTGTATTCTAAATTAATATATAGAGATTCATCGCTTGTAAACTTGATTTTGATCTAGGTTCAGCGCTTGTTATTTTTAGGATTTTCCGACTGCGTCAAGTGGTATCAGAGCAAGCTTTCTCTTGTCTCTTTTCGAAGCTTGATCATGGGGGGTCAACCGTAATCAGAGCAGATTTTCAGGGTTTTATCACGACTATTACCACGGCCTTAACTGTTTTGAACGATCATATGAAAAATCTAGCAGCTGAGAAATGCCAACAACAACAATCAACAAAGAGGCAGAGGAAGAGAACCAATTAGGAAGAGAAGCATGATGGAGAAGCTAAAAGTCTTCTACAAGGATACTGCAACTGTTCAGCGGACAATAGGGATTGTCCTGGTACTGTTGTAGCTGAAGTTCTGCTTACATAAAGACAGAGTAGAACTTTTGTAAAGGTAGTTCTTCTGCAGAAAAAAAATAAGCAGAGAGAGCTCAAACGAGAAATCAGTTGGTGCTGGTTTTTGTAAGGGGTTTACTCTGGTGAGTGAACAAAAGAGATATCAGCAGGTGCTGATTGAAAGCTTAGGAAATTTGGCCAGGGGCAAATCACTAGGTAGTGATGTTGTGTAACACTGGGTAAAAAGATTGTAGGTACAATCAGTTTCTATGTGTATTTCTGAATGAAAAGATAATGTTATCTTTTAATTGCTGCGTCTACTCTTTCATTGAGTTACAGA